AAGTATATAAACTTAATTATCAAAAAGACAAAAAATCTTTTGAGAACGTCTGTTTTTTGGATTGATAAAAGGACCAATGGAAAGAATTATTTACATTTGTGTTTACTATCATTTGAATAAAAAATATATTTATTATAGACTACAAGAATTTTTTCTTTTTCTTCTTTAAATAAGTTGGAATATATTCGATTCATAAATTTATCATCATATTTTGATATAAACTTTTCATGCTTAAATATTTTTTCTAAAAATTCTTTTCAATATTGAATAATGTTATCTCTTTTATATCTGTTATGGTACACATCTTGACAATGTTATTGAAATTAATAATCAAAAATTTTAAGTTATTTTAGTATAGTTATTTAGCTAATTGTTTTTTTTTTATTATTCCAATACTAAAAAACAATTTATCATCAATAAACTTTTTAAATGTGGCTATTATGATATTGAAAATTTGATTTCTAATCCAAATATAACATTTCTCTACAATATTTTTGTCATTAATTATTCTGATTGTTTTGTAGTGTTTTTCATGTCTAGATGCTGGAAGCTTATTATAAAGTAATCAATACTTTGCAAGATATTGAATCTTTTGTGTTTTTCATATATCTTCATTGTTTATGGAAACTTTTTGGACAGCCTTCAAATTCTTTTGCATCCATTATTATTATTCAACAAGATAAGATATTTAAAAATAACTCTTTTATAATTATACTCAGTGATAGTTAATTAATCTTTTTTTTTAACTGTTTTTTTAACTCTTGAGCTTTTTTATTTATTTGACAAGTATATAGATTAATAACTTTACTTTTCAAATTATTTAAAGTTTCTTTTATTTTATTGAACTCAAGCAATTATAAGTCTGTAACTTGAGCATTGCAATTATTAAAGAAACTGATAATTTTTTTAGTTCCAGCTATTGCTTTAGTAAGTAAGCTATTTGAGCCATATTTATTATAGTAGGTTGTCTTTGATATATTGCTTATTACTTGTTTTGTTTTTTTTTATTAATTAATATTTTTCTATATTAGGTTGGGTTTATTTAATTTCGTATTTATTTTAGTTTCAGTTTCTATATTCTTTGCATTTGTAAGATTTTATTCACTATCATTATTATCACACTACTCTTCTTTACTAATAACTGGTTTATTAATTTTATAATAATTAGTTATAATATGTTGAAAAAAATAACTGATATGAGAAATACTAGTGGGATATCTAAAATTGGTTATTGATTGATCAATATACAAATATGTTTCACTTTAACAGAATATAAAATTTTTATCTTTTAGTTACTATTGTAAGAACATCTTAAAGAAAATTAGAAAATTAACAAAAAGTAAATAAATTTTATATTATTCAACAATTCATATAACTTTACTTGATTCAAATATTAAAATTTATTAAATTTATTGTTATTAAATCTAAATACTAATTACCAATTATCAACTCATATCTAAATGTTTTCTTACAAGACACTTTTGATAAGAGATATATATAATTAAACATAGTAAGACTTGAAAATATTTTTATATTATTTAATATATCAGTTTTGGATTTATTTAATTTTAACAACAGTGAACTTTTCAGTAACCATTAACAGTTATATAATATATTATTGTTCATACAATCCAAAAGAATATGTGAATAATAGGGTTTTAGTTATCACTGAAACTTCTGATTTCTTTTTTCTTACCAATCCATTGAATCCATTTGTACTGAAATAACAATTTCTCAAATTTATCATAATGAAAAAAAGTGATAGTTATAATTTCGAGTAAGTGAATATGTTCTATCTCAATATAGCATTATAAGAATATTTAAATATGATATTTATACTTAGCTTTAAATTCCTTGGTTCACTGATTGATTCAGCCAAACTTTTTTTAATTAATTAAAGTAAAACTCTTTAAGAATGCTTATTATTATTTAATAAGAAACTAATACCAGGAAAAATATTAAGGAGGCAATTTATATATAATACTTAATACGGATATCTAATGATATAACGGAAATATAGTAAAAATCGGAATAAGTTTAATTTTTTACTGATGTAAGGATATATTTGATATATTTAAGTTTATTATTAAGTTAGCGGTTATCATGTGATGTAGTTACGTGTCAAAGCGATTGATGATTGGTCTAAAGCAGATGATCGGCGTCCGAAAATAAAATATTATTAATAAAAGTAATAAGCTTTAAACCTTAATAAATTTTTAAAATACTAATTACAATAATTAAAAATTTTAACCCATAAATTTGAAAAAGATTATTAAATCTTATTTTTATGGTTTATTTTTTTAATATTATTTAAATTAAAAGATTAATAGATTTAAAACTATATAAATTTATTTGATAATTATAGATGTTACGAACCATACAAACAAAAAGTGGATGGAAGAACAAAAATTAAAGACAAAGGTATGATTATCTTTATTGCATTATTTTCTTTAGCGTCGATTTGGCATTTTTTTATATTCGTATCGGATGTGTTATATTGTACCATTAAAGCTGAGTATCAAATAGACATCACATTCAATATAAACACGTGATTGGTATAATTTGTAGGATTATTGAAGGTTAGAGTAACTGCATGTGATGAACCCAAAAGCAAGAGGTGTCATGTGCAAGAAACGAGTTATTAAAAATTACTAAAAAATAGTGGGTAGATAGTCACATTATATTGTATCAATAAAATGATTAGACCTAAATGTCATTTTTTCAAATAATTTATTTCGTGTGAGATAAGTGTTTTTTCATTTTATTCATTCATTGTCGCTCAAGAATATTGATAAATTAACCAAAGTAATATAAAACAGATAGGAATTTCGTTACTTGATTATATTCTTGATCATTACACTGTATCTTATACTGTATCTATTTCTAACATAAAACTTCTTGTAAACATCTTAAAAGTCACTGATGAGAATGTCGACTGGATAAAATTCCCGAAATTCCAAAATATATAATCTGTATTAATGATATCTTAGAAGTTCCTTATAAAAAATTCCTCATATTAGCATGTGGCCATAGCTTCCATAAACTTTGCACCAAGAAAAAAATTTTATATGCAGTGCCAAGTATGTGTTCTTTTCATGACTGTAGTAAAAGAATTAGGGTTATGAAGAAATAACAAGACTGACTCTGTATATTCTCAATGAAGTGTCACATCGACTCTGGCTGAATTTACCGTAATATTAGATTTAGTTCCCAAAGAACTTCGTCACAGGATCAAGACGGGAATATAAATAAAGCAAAGAACAAGGAATTGAGTTGAAATCCCACCCATGCTATCACAAAAGCGCGTTATCAAGCCTATTCCTACGACAAGTTCTTCCAATAAAAAAATTAAGAAGATAATTAACAGGAAAGGATTGACGAAACTAAAAAAGCTTATTGATGAAGTGATTCTTTACAAACTGACGAAGCTATATAAGAGAGTGCCTCTACTCACTTTACGACTGATCCCACCAAAGGAAATGCCAATTATAATATATATACAGTATATATATTTAGAAAGATCGATAAATCCAAATCTAAATATCTAATTACTAATAATTTCATTATTAGTAGCCATTTTGACTTGGTAAGATTTTATATAAATTATATGAGAATTTAAAAAAAATATAATGACAAGGAAGGAGCGAATGATCTACTTTTCGATGAAGTTATGAAATAAATTCCTGTAGAAGTAACAGATGAGGGCTTGCGAAAAAAAATGGAGTCTGAAATATCCATAGACTTTTTTAAAAAAATATCGTTAATTAAACGTTTTCTACATTCTATCTCAGCTTTAAGCCGAGATGATATTGATTTGTAGTTGTAAAATCATGATAAATAAAGTTTTATAGCCATGTTCCTGCTCTCAATTTCATTGGCCGATAAATGTTAATCATACCAACATACAGTATGTTGTGCCTTGTAACATTTTACAAAAATGTCTCAGAAAAAAAAAGGTAAAGTATATACAGTACATGTATTATTATAAAGAATAGCCATTATAATTAATGAAAAAATATCTTCCGTAGAGGACATTTCATCTACTGTTGCTGGTATATCTGGCACAACTAGTGTATCAACACAAGGCATAGGTGCCAAAATATTTGAAAATGCCTCACTGCAAACGGAGCTATCTACCGGTAAGTAAACTTATTACGAGTATTACTGTATTTTGTGGAGGAGTTATTAATTGCTGTCTGCAAAAATAGGTCTCGAAGGTATTAACTTAGGCCTTTCTTCACCCAAAATATGGGTAAAGTACGGTAATGGTCAACCAGTAAAAATTGGTTTCGATGGAGATGTGGACGACTTGAAAAAAGCGATCAAAAAGGAGTTGTCACCTGATTTGGATGATGTGGCCCTTAACCACATTACTCTAAGAAGGCACGGTGAAGAAGCAGACTTGCGTGCGGATTTAACTGTTGATGAAAGTTATGTAAATACTTATGACACACCTATACAAGTCATTGTTAATGCAACTGGTATTGTATTCAAGTCTATTAAATGATTAACGGGTTAAAATGTTGAATTTTTTTGCGAATCGCAATAAATTTAGCCGATGGAATGAACACGGCTTAACTCTTTGATATCCGTTTCATTTCGTTTGCGCTGTGTCAAATGATATTTCAAGCTTACATTGTTATTTCGTTTATTAACTTTCCTTAATTATCTATTCCTATACAGAATATCATGGCAGGGGCAAAAAAATTGAGAATAAAAGATTGAAGAACTTTTGGAAGGCTTTAAAGGATACGAATTTTAATATTGGTGATGAGTTTTTCCAACTGTCCGGGAATGCACATTTTTTTGGAAGTAACGAAGAACCTTCGACACTGTTCATTCGTAAATGCTACAATGACCTGCTAAATGTTGTTTTTAATAACAATATAAGGAAATTGCGTATCACGGGCAATCCAGGAATCGGAAAAACCTTTTTTGGTTACTACCTGCTTTATCACCTTGCATCTTTAAATAAAACGGTCATATACGTGATTCATACCATGAGTGAATCAAATCTTGTTATTTTATTTGAACAGGAAAGTGCCTTCTATCTACGCAGAGCATATGATTCTGACGTAATTGGAAGATACCTTGATGATCCTAATGTTTGGCATATTGTGGATGGTAGAAAACCAGATAAAGTTAATGCCAAGACAATTCTTATTTGCTCTCCATTGATAGATCATTATGGGGGCTTCGATAAGAATATCCCAAGTATACGATACATGCCAGTTTGGTCTTGGAACGAAATTGATACTTGTAGAAGTAAGATTTTCGGAAGCCTTAGTATTGATAGGGTTCGAGAGTTATTTATGAGGTGGGGAGGGATTCCTAGATACACTTTGGAGGGCGCTCTCAATAAAGAAATTCAATATCAGCTCGAAGAAGAAATTGAATTATGTGATGAAAATATCTTTAGATATATTGGCGGAAGGGAAAGAAAAGGAGACGAAAGTGATAAACTCATACATATTTGGACGAACCTTCCAACGGAGGAAAATGATGCCGAAGTCGACGAAGAAGCAGAATGCAGTGAAGTTATCGAACCATATACGCTAAAAACTATTATATTTGCGTCTAATTATGTAGGTGAGCAAGTAACTAAGAAACTCAAAAAGATAATAGTGGATAGATTGTGCAAAGTCATGGAAGTAGTCTTGGAAGGAAGAAAAATGAATTTAATTCTGGACAATTTTTTTGAGGCGATTGCTCATCAGATGTTACGAGGTGGAGGAACTTTCCAAGTTCGTTCTTTGGATTCCAATAAAACGTACAATCTTACATTGAATCGACAGGATAAGATACTTAAATTTTCTGATATTGGTGATATTGAGGACAGGAAGTACTATCAACCGATTGATAAAACTTTTCCATCAATTGATGCGATTTTGGCTCCCGAATGCATCTTCCAGATGACTACAGCTATGAATCATTCCATCAACACAACAGGTTTGAAAAAACTTCGTGGAAAATTAGCGAAGACAGGTAATATCGACTTTTATTTCGTTGTGCCAGCACAGTTGTATGATGAATATCAAAAGCAAAATTATGTTACCACCAAAAACGTTATTGATCTGAATATACCACCTTGGATTGCAAACCGAGTCAGGCAACATGTTCTGAGAATTGATTTGTGCTCCGGAGCTTTATCGTCAAAAAGTGAAAGTTCATTAAAAAGAAGAGGCAATTTATTAGAAGCTAGTTCATTAAAAAGAGGTGAATAAATAGATTATTTAGTTTTCTATTACTATTTTTTACTTGAAAAAATTATTCTTATGTTAATTTTATTTTTCGAAATAACATTAATCTACTGTATATCGGAGCGAGTGAAGTGTATTTCATTTTTTTATGCCTTATTATTGACCATTTACAATAAAACAAGTTTAATCGTTTGTCGAAACTTTTATCCTAACCCACGCAAAATGTATTCTCTTACTTGTAAAGAAGTAAATTTAATAGGTCTAACTCCTTAATATAGTATAAATCATATCATCTCTACCGCTCTTATAATTTATCGGTAAATACTTCTTATTTGTACAAATACAGTATATGAATCATGTATTACAACAAAACGAGATTGATAGAATGCCATTAATTTATAAATGTGAAATCACATCCAATTGAAAGAATTGAATGGGAATCAATTGCTTAATACTGTATATTATAGAAAAAATGATTTGATAGAATATTGTTTAAAGTAAAATATTATTATAAGTGTTTCGGGAGAAATACATCAAGTTGACAATGCATAAACACTATAGCATATATATTTGTTTAACTCAACTTTTCTGTTTATTGACTTTGTAATAACTTATTGTGTTTCATAAATTCATAAAGTTCATTTTTTTTCTGTAATATAATACACAATATCAAAGTTTCTCTATGCCGTATATCGCAAAGATATAAAATTCAATAAAACATATTCAGAATTAATCCAGCCCTTATATGTGAGGCTTGAACTAGAAAATTTTTATATACACAGTATTTTCGAATTTAATGTCTATGTCTTCAAATACAATCACTGCTTCTTATTTAGAAAAAAGTTATCCATTTTTGATATTTATTAGAATTTATTAACTAGTATGTTTAAAGTTGTTATGTGTTATTGCTATTTTTAAATATACTTTTAATTTTAAAATATCTTATATAATATTTTAATATAGAATTTTTTTTGATGTTAATTCTAAATTTTATTTATTGTTTTATTGTATCACAGATAGGTAAAAGGTGTTGTTAATAATCTTATTAAAGAATTTAAATTAAAGTTTTTTATAAAACTTTTATTTAGCTCAAAGTGAATCAGAAATAATTTGATTCAATTGACAAATCAAAACTTTTAACCAAATTTATTTTCCTTAATCTGAACTAAATATTATTAAAATTAGGTTAACAAAAAATTGTCAAATTTTAAAAATATTAATTAACTTTTTTTTTATTTTTATTTTTTTAAAAATCTTTTTTAGTACATTTTCTTAATTTTTGTTTTTTTTTTGTTCAAAAATGAATATAATAATAAAACAAAGTAAATTTGAAATGTCTAATATATGTGATATTTTATATCTAGTAATAATTATATTTAAAAAGGTATTCTTGCTAAAAGAAATATAAACACATAAATTTTTTTTACCAAAATTTAGTATATCTCAGATTATTATAAATATAAAATTTATTTTTTTATATTATTATTTTTTTTAAATTTAATATTATTCTATTTAAAAAAATAAATAATTCATTCAAATTAAAAAATATTTATTTAAAATGTATAGATTTATTATTAAGTTTTTTTTATATTTATAAAGAATTTATTTTTTTATTACAAATAAGAAACTTTAATTAAATATAGATTAACTGTCATTATATTAACAATTTTTATATAAATAAATTAATTATAACTTATTATAACAAAACTATTAATACCCAAACTAGCTGATACTAGACCAATCTCGCTAGTCGACTCTTCTAGAAAAATCTTTACAGGTCTAGTTAACAAAAAACTAACCAAGATTCTCAAGGAAAACAATATTTTATCAAGGTTCAACTGTGCCGGTCTTCCTGGACAGAG